GCTGATATTCTGTGAGAGCGTGGTCCTTCCCCGGTCGAGCCGACCCACTCGTGCTAGAACTATACTACTAATATAGCTGCAGCATGGCTCTACCACGTATAAAAAAATTTCAATTCAAATTCAATTCCCGTTAGATGCGATTAAATTTATATTAATCTTGTAATCTATAGATTATGAGGAATAAATCGACATACATTTCATAAGGTGTCCCTAAAATTCATGGTGGGCCCATTCTCCATACAAAATGAAATTGTCTCTTTTGCAGAGAAGGTTCAGAATAAGTAAAAGGTGAAGAAAAATTAATTATAAAAATCTCAAACATTCTGTCCCTTTTATCATTTTAATTTAAAATGCGTGGAAGTGCATTATTTTAACTGATAGGTCGATCGTTCAGCAAAAACGTAAATTGAATCGCACATAGAGAAGCACGCGTACGCGTAGGTGTTGCCCTTAAATCACATTCAGTTTGGGATAATTCAAATGAAAGTAGAAGCCTTATTTACTTGTATCTTTGTAAATATGTTTTTTTTTATAGAATCGGGTGACAAACGAGCACACAGTCCACCTGATGGTAAGTGGTTACTGTGACCCATAGACATCTACATCTATCCTCAATAAAGACTAAAGATGCAGATGCGTTGTCACCCGTGAGGACTAAGATGGAATGCCTCTTTGCCAGTAAAAAGGGTCTCCGGTTCTCTATACTCACCATATGAAACACAGCAGCGTTAAGCTGCTATTTTACGCTGGTTTTCTGTGAGAGCGTGGCCCTTCCCCGGTCGAACCGACCCATTCGTACTACAACCATAATATAGCTGCAGCATGGCTCTACCACGTAATAACGGTTTAACATTATTTATATATTTGAACTGGAATTTAAAATTTGGCTATATCAATAAAGATGTTATATCGTTATATCGATATATTTTAATATTGTTATTAAATAGTTGTAGATTTCGTTCCGTTTGTTAATAACCTTATAGCCAAGGAATTAATTTTGTTACGATTCTAATGGAATGGTACGAATTATTGTTACTGAAACTACACGTAACGTTATTTTGAGTAACGTTTCTAACCCGTGGTTCTGACTTGCTTACATGCGCTGTATAGTTTGCTTATAAATAATCTAAAGAAATCTCCTTGGTCGGTGGAATTGTTGAATCTATACAAATCTATACAAATAAATAAAATTGGAGAATCTGATTGTAATGTCAAAATAACAGCATTTTACTTACATATGAAAGTATATTCGGTATATACGGTTACAAATGAAAAACAACTTTAAGCATTTTTGTTTGTATGTCTCTCTGTCTGTTTGTTCCGGCTAATCTCTGAAACGCCTGGACTGATTTTGACGGGACTTTAACTGGCAGATATTTGATGTTATAAGTAGTTTTTTAGGCTACTTTTATTGAAAAAAGACAGTAAGGGTTCCGCGTAAAAAAAATTAAATTCCATGAAATCCAATCGTAATAATATCCACGCGGAAGTCGGAAACAGCTAGTTATAAGTATATAAAAATTTAATTTTATTGATGCCATTTTGATGTAACTTTTTTCATTACATTAAAAATGTAAGCTTTGCTATCGCTGTTATTATATTGTATTTTTATAAGCATTTGAATAATATTTGCCACTATGTCTGGCGTATGTGGACTATGAGAAAGCCTTTGATTCCGTCGAAATTTAGGCGGTGCTGCAGTCCCTTCAGCGAAGCCAAGTTGACTGTCGGTATATCGAAGTGTTGAAGTGCTTGTACAGTAGGGCTACGATGGCTATCCGAGTACAGAACCAGAGTACGAAACCTATCCAATTGCAGAGAGGTGTAAGACAGGGTGACGTCATATCCCCGAAACTCTTTACCACTGCATTGGAAGATGTTTTCAAGCTTCTGGACTGGAAAGGATACGGTATCAACATCTATGGCGAGTACATCACTCACCTTCGATTTGCCGACGATATAGTCCTTATGGCAGAATCGCTGGAGGACCTAAGCACTATGCTCAATTACCTCAATAGTGTTTCCCAACGGATAGGTCTTAAGATGAACATGGACAAAACTAAGATCATGTTTAATGTCCGTGTCACACCTATGCCGGTAGTTGTTGGGAACACTAAGCTCGAAGTTGCTGACGAGTATGTTTACCTGGGACAAATAGTCCGACTAGGTAAGTCCAACTTCGACCGAGAGGTTAATCGACGGATTCAACTCGGTTGGGCAGGGTTCGGGAAATTACGGCACATCTTCTCGTCAGGGATACCTCAAACCTTGAAAACGAGACTGTACACCCAGTGCGTGTTGCCAGTGATGACATACGGAACTGAGACGTGGTCCTTCACTGCTGGCCGGATGAGGAAGCTCAAGGTCGCTCAGCGAGCTATGGAGAGGGCTAGGCTCGGAGTTTCTCTGCGTGATAAACTTAAGAATGAGGATATTCGCAGTAGAACCAGAGTAACCGACATAGCCCAACGGATTAGTAAGCTGAAGTGGCAATGGGCCGGCCATATAGCTCGAAGAACCGACAACCGATGCGGAAGAAAGGTTCTCGAGTAGCAGCCTCGTACCGGTAGGCGAAGTGTAGGGCGTACCCTCACGAGATGGAGTGACGACCTGGTAAGACATGCAGGAAGTCGATGGATGCAGGTGGCTCAGGACCGTGCTTTGTGGACTTCTTTGGGGGAGGCCTATGTTCAGCAGTGGACTTGTGAAGGGCTGTAATGATGATGATGATGAAGCATTTGAAGTTCATTTTTTTCAACATAATTAGGAAAAACGAACATGCACAAATAAATGGCTAACATTTTAATGAAAGTCTGAATCAAAGTGTTAGGATACGGTCTTAAACTAATTAAACGCCCCGAGTTGAACAACCATTTAATAATTTTCTTATAAAGATAAACTTTTCATTACATTTACCTGAAATATTTTTATGTTTATGTTTTTGTGATGGTTCCATTTATTTCTCTGGAAAAGCTATACAGTTTTTGTGTAAACCCTATCCTATATGCAAGTCTATATTTAACATGTTTTTATTTCTATATAGAAGAAAGTTTAAGTTCTTTATATTTTTATTAAAATGTATGTTATTTATATATTTGCATGAAACATTGTTTAAATAGCAACCATTTATTTAGATTCTCAAAGGAATTGTTTTACTCAAACAAATTCATCTTAAACTTACGCTTCGTAGTGCAGAATTCCCTATACTACGATTTGCAAATGTACAGCTTCAATTTATCATCTCAAATAGTGCAATACACAAGCACACGCCTTTACAAAATACTATTGTAAAATAGCAGCTTAATGCTACTATTTTTCGCATATAGAGTGTTAAGAACTGCAGAACTTTGCTAATGAAAAGGAGACATTTTGTATACGTGGTAGAGCCATGCTGCAGCTATATTATGGTTGTAGCACGAATGGGTCGGCTCGACCGGGGAAGGACCACGCTCTCACAGAATATCAGCGTAAAATAGCTGCTTAACGCTGCTGTGTTTCGTATGGTGAGTGTAGAGAACCGGAGACCCTTTTTACTGGAAACAAGGCATTCCATCTTAGTCCTCACGGGTGACAACATCTGCATTTTGATTCGTAATCGAAGATAGATGTAGATGTCTATGGGCCACAACAACCACTTACCATCAGGTGGACTGTGTGCTCGTTTGTCACCCTTATCCTATAAAAAAAAAGATATTCCATCTTGATTCATAGGTGTTACAACATATCGGCATTTTGATTTTAAGAGGATAGTTGTTTACGGGTGTACCCGGTGGTTTACTTACCAAATTATAGTTGGCCTGTGCGTTATTTTTTTATCCTTGCTATCTGTTATTCCGTTTTATACTTTGTAAAATTTTACTAATTCCATCATGTTTTGCAAATTAAACTTCCAAACAGATTTTCCTAACTCTTGGACCCTAGAAGGTAATATGAGTTGATGTATGAAACGTAAGGTAATCAAAGGACCTGGACAATTGACAGTTGTGAAGTAACCTTGTATAAAATAAAAAATAAATATAAAATCATTATCATGCATAAGTATGCATGAACATGATTTTATAAAAAGCATTATCGAATTATTTTATAAAAATCAAATCATTATCATACTAATGCATGATAATGATTATAATATATGAATTATTAATTTACTGTCACATATAATTTAAGTAAAGGTCTAAATCGGCAAAAGGCAGCAGTAGCAAATCTGATAGATGTCTAGTCACTAGTAATACCAATGCCACTACTATCTATTTTGTACTTAAATGTGGCGAACATGGCAAGTTCTTCTTAACATATTAATTTTCATTTTGAAGTGACTTAATAAGCTGAAAAGATTCCCAAAAGAATCACTAAAATCCCTTAAAATATGGAAATAATGTGATAGAAGTTAAAAAAAAAACATATAAATTGTCATACAATTTTTTTATTAACCAATGCTTGAGAGCGAAATATAAACCATATAAAACAAAACAATAATAATAAAATAGCTCTGTCACAACGAAAATCCTCTTAGGGAACGAAATAAAAACACATATTAATGGAAATCCGGAAAGGAAACCCGAGCAGTATTACACCTATTCGAAATAATTATAACTGTAAGAGGTATCGATGACAGGTCTATACGTATTCCGAAGTGGTTAGTCAAGATTACATTCTACGATCGTTAACGCTATAGAAAACTATTAAACGAAAATAACGTAAAGTCTCCCATTCATATTTATAGTTTTGTATAATGTTAATGATCGTAGTTGTCTTCCGCTAAAGGAATTCCGGTGAATGAACGACTAACGAATAACCAACGACTTATCACAAACCAATAGCCTTGGAACACTCAACAGACTGCAGTTAACAAATAAATCATTTAATATGAATATACCTAGTCAGGTCATAAATTCTGTCACATGTTTAATATAAAATAATAGAAACAAGTTTATTCATTATGTAATCATTTATATACCAAAATAAACTTAACAAAACATAGATTTTTATGACACTAAAGTTTATTCAAAATGACCTCCGTGATTTTGAATAGAGGCCTTCAATCTGCGCGGCCAGTCGTCTATCGCAGCACGAACGAGGTCCATGTCAATATCGGCGGCTGCCTTAATCAAGGATGTCTTGAGTGACTCCAAATTGGGATGAGGCTTTGAGCACGCCTTTTCCTCCAAGTGTTGCCATATCTTGTAATCTAACGGATTCAAATCTGGACTGGAGGAGGGCCAGTCTTCGTGCCGGATGAAGTCGATTTCACGCGCCGCCAGCCAGTCTTGTGTGCTCTTCGCTCTATGAGCTGGCGCTGAATCTTGTTGGAATACCCAGTGCCTGTTATTGAACATGGTATGAGAAACAGGTTCCACAAGGTTCTTCAGGACTGTATTTTGATACACAACTCCATTCGCTTTTACACCTTTCTCACAAAAATGTACCTCTGTTAAGCCCCAATAAGAAACTCCCAACCATACCATGAGCAAGGATGGAAAATGACCTCGTTGGACACGCAGAATACGGTTGCTCGCTTCTTCACTACTGTGTGCGTACATCTTATCATTTTGTTTGTTGTAGCTCTCTTCTACGGTAAAAATTTTTTCAAACGAAAAAAGAATTTCCCGATATTTTTTTCCCGCGTACCACTTCAACAAAGAGCGGCATCTCTTCAGTCTCAGGTCCATTAGACGAGCATTCAAACGATGTCCTGTTTTTCTTCGATATGCCCGAAGCCCTAAGTCTTCATTTAACACCCTTTTCACCGTGGTTCTGCTTAACCCCATTTGAAGGGCCAACAGTTTCTGCTTACGTTTGGGATTTCTTTGAATTCGCGCCTTCACAGCATTTATCACTGCTGGAGTCCTAACAGACCGAGGGCGACCACTTCTTGACCTGTCATCTACACTAGAGTCTTCATTGTATCGTTTGATGGTACGATAGACGAATCTTTTGGTTATATTCAAATTTTTCAGTATGTGAAAAATTTTAATTGGCGCGTAACCGCAACGATGCAACGCAATAACTGCAACACGGTCTTCTTTAAGCGTCCACTCCATATTTAAAAATGAGTAAAATTCTAAAAAGTATACAGTTTTATTTTCATAAACAATTCGAAATTCGAATTCAATAAACTTTTTTGTGGCCAGCATTCTAAAAGAAAAGTTTTTACTGTGTGAATATACTTATGACCTGGCTAGGTATAATATGTGATTTTTTGCCTATTTATATGTTATATTTCTTATTTTACATTTCGTTTATCATTATTAGTTGCAAACATAATTAAACCTTGAAAATATAGAAAAATAAAATGCTTAGCAATTTTTAGTTCCAAATATCGCGGGGTGTGCGTTTTGTTATAAACTTCTTTTGACCTGGATACTTGTGAACTGAATTCTAGCAGTAGTGAAAAATACAAATAGCTGATTTTGGGATCCGTTCGTGTAGTGATCTACGTTTACTTAACACAGAAAAATATTTATATTCGATAAATTAGTATTTTGTCATTCGTTCAATCATTATAGACTTCTGTTTTATTTTACTATGCTACCATTTACGAAACCCACGGAATGATATTAGGCAGTGGATTCTCTTACGCCGTCATTACACGGCATCCACAACTTTATCATAAGATAATGTTTTATTTGCCTAGTTCGACCATGAGGACAGCGTCACTCCAGGAACACGTGACACGTAAATACGGAGGCACTTACTTATCCTAAGTTACCCGTATCAAAGGTTACACTTGGGCTTTATAACCGGAGATATTTCTGGTTAATTTACATTATCCATAATAATTAAGTTTTTAGAGCACTCAATCACACGGTTATCAAATATTTCGATAAACAATACGTGGAACTTGGTAAACGGATGGCGGGGAAGTGTTACAGTTATTTTTATATTTAAATCAATTAATTTACTTGCGTTAATAAAAACTTGTAGTTGTTTATCGTAAAATAAGTATCACATAGACCAAAACAGAGAGTAATGACACCGTGGTGGTTATAAAAGTCATTGTAATGAACAATCATTCTTCATCATAAGTTATTCTACTCTAGCTCTACCATTTCTAATTACTGCGACAACTCACAGTAATTAGAAATGGTAGAGCTACGCTGCATCTATGTTATGGTTGCAGCACGAATGGATCGTCTTAACCGCGGGAGGATCCCAGTCTTAGCGCATAGCGTAAAATGGCACCTTAATGCTTTTATGTTAGGTGTGTGTAGAATACAGAAGTCCTTTTTACGAGGCATTCTATCGTAATTCTCAGTGGAGACAACGCACCTAAAATTTAATTCTTAATCGAGGATGGATGTATGGGCCACAGCAGTAACTTGTTATCAGGTTGACTGCGTGCTTGTTATTCTGCTTCTAATTCCACTTCTCAAGAACCTTGCATTTCTTGTAGATTTGTTCATTTGCAGATTGGTGAGCGCAGAGCTTAATGTTAATATTGGTAGTGCCATACTAGCCTGTAGAAATTATTTCCACTATATTTTGTGGTTTTCTGCTATCAGTCGCCAGTACCACGACTTAAGGACTATAGTGTGCGCCGCATATAGCAGTTATAGTGCTCTCGTAAACTATATCGATCGCTAAAGAACAACAATAAGGTTAGAGCAAAAGTTGCTAACTTAAAATAATAAAAATTGCGATTGCCAACCCGCCTGTCAAGTGGGGCAACTATTGCAAATATCAATCCTATGAGGCAATTTACAGAAAGAAGTGGGGGGGGGGCATGTTTTTTTTTATAGAATAAGGGTGGCAAACGAGCACACAGTCCACCTGATGGTAAGTGTTTGCTGTGGCCCGTAGACATCTACATCTATTTTGGTTTGCGAATTAAAATGCGGATGCGTTGTCAGCCGTGAGGACTAAGATGGAATGCCTCTTTTTCCAGTAAAATGGGTCTCCGGTTCTCTACACTCACCATACGAAACACAGCAGCATCAAACTGCTATTTTATGCTGGTATTATGTGAGAGCGTGGTCCTTGCCCGGTCGAGCCGACCCATTCGTGCTACAACTATACTCTTAACATTTATTTTATCAATAATATAGCTGCAGCATGGCTCTACCACGTAAAAAATTGTTCAGCAGTAGACTTTCTGTAGGTTGTATTGAATGATAAGTTGTAGAAAAATTTGTTCTAGCTGGCGTGCTTACCCTGAGTTGAAGAAATAATAAATTAAAAGCAAAGGGTCAATAGCAAAACCAACAGAGGTTAGAAATATTAGTATTTAGTGACTCAACATTTTTTGTGAAATGTCAGAACTGGGTAAATGCGTCCTGTGAGAACAAAAGCGGACAAGCTTAAGCGTTGTTTTAAATTAAGTTTTAGAAAAACATTGCGTAACAAATTGTAATAATAAAGGACTAGATATGTTTTATCATTTTTGAGTATTCACTGTAAAATTGTATAAACATAATAGACTTATTTACGTGTGTATACTTTTTAAAAAGGGTTATAAGGTTAAATTTAGTTTTAGCCACATTCTTGGGCGTCGCTAATATTTGAGGAGGGCCATACACTACCCTGTCAATATTAGGCAGAGTTGCAATTTATTTAATATGGTATTGGAGACAGTATTTTTTTCTTGTCGCCGTCTTGGCACGCCGTCGTAAATTAAAAATAAATAAATCATTGTAAGCTTTATTCTATACAACGCACTTAATGCTCAATGCGAATCAAAATATCAATTTGATATGGAGGCAAAAACGAAATATAAGTGTAAGAATATTTATTTATTGGAATAAACATGTACTTAACTCTTTCGTTGGCTTTATTAATATGAAATTATAAATCTAAAGTAAAGTTGAATGGGATATAGATATAGCATTAAAATATGTAAAAAAATATTAATTTTGACATTTTAGGTAGGTTAAACTTGGCCGATAATAATTCGATAATAGTACTGATATTCTGGTCTTACAAATTTTATCAGTTCTCTAATATTACATTTCTTTTAGAAATTGTTCCATATTTTCTACCAACACGTTCACCTTCATTATTTTACCTTTCTAAATTTGTTCTCTTCGTCATCATAATTCCTACACTTCACAAGTCCTCTGCTGAACATAGACCTACCCGAAGGAATGCCTCAAAGTACGGTCTTGAGCCACCTGCATCCATCGTCTTCCTGCATATTTTATTAGGTCGTCACTTCATTTAGAATGGGGCCGCCGCACATTTTGCTTACCGGTACAAAGTTGCCACTCGAGAACCTTTCTTTCTTTTCTTTCGGTTGCCGGTTGTTCGAGGTATATGGCTGGCCCATTGCCACTTCAGTTACTAATCCGTTGGACTATGTCAAATACTCTAGTTCTACTATTACCTCTCCAACTTATAGTTCAATGTACCTCTTACCATTCGGTGATCGCTACCAGTTTTCACCCTCGCGATCACTGTGACATCGCTGAACAGTTGCCATCTGGTGGTCCTAATGAAGTCAATCCATTTTTTTAGAATCGTCGGGGTTTGACCAACTTTGTGTGTATCTTGTGAAGTCTCCCATTAACATCGTATAGCGGGTTTTGGAGGTATGCATGGCTATAGAGATATCCTCATTCTGATTAAATATACGTACCACTTCTTTACCTCACGTCCAAAACTAAACGTACAAGGAATTGTTGCTGTTCCTGAATGTAGATATAGAAAAATATAAGCACCTTGTATAAATCAATTCTAAATATCTGTTTAAATAAGGTAAAATTATTCAGAGATAGAATAAAACACTTACCTTTATGGAAGGTTTTAAGGTCTCAAACCAACATTATTTTGGCAATCATTGTCGTTTAAATCATGCGAAGTTGAAGAGTTTATTACTAGTAAGTAGAAGAGTTTATTACCAGTCGTCTAGCTCTTAACGTTATGGTAGCATATAATGAACAAATGAATGAAAGAAATAAGTACTGGCCATAACACGTTTCATACATAACAACGCAGTGCGACGATGCGTTCGCACTGCGTTGTTTACCTCTTTTATCCGCTCCAGAAAAACATAGATTAAAATAATTTTTAACTAAAGAATACGCTCAGTGCCGACATAACTTTCATTCATCACTTGCTATTGTCACCAAGCTGTAATTACGGTCTTTATTTTAAGGTCTTATTTGGTTTGTATTCATATAAAAACTTCATGTATCAAAAAAAATTAACTTATAAACTTTCTGCTAGTAGATTCCATGATTTGTTGCCGTAGATCGTTAAATATTTTATTTATATTTTTTTAAATTAATCCATTTAATTTGAGCTGGTAGAATATATTTTCAGATATTATGTAACTAAACTTGTTTTCATTACGTAATATTAGTAGAAGAGTAGTAAGAGGGACAATTATTGTACCTGTTCTGATATTATTTTTATACTTTATACTATAATAACACCAGTACAGCTATAACAAGTCTAGAACTAATTTTTATTACATTGAATTGACTGTCAAAATATATTAGAAAATGACTGTTGCTGCCAATGAACTTCTAAAGACATGATACGTAAAATGTTATAAATGTGTTGTCACCGTTGTGGATGAAGAAAATTTGACTAAGGGTCGATCCCCAGATAAACAGACCAATAGCGTTTATTCGACAGATAACAAAGATATAAATTGTTCAGTCGTCAGATAGGCTTTATTCGACATATAACTTGAATATCGTAGGATTAACTCTATCTGTCCCTTTGACAACAAAATAACAGCATATTCAATAGATACTTTCATTCGATGCTAAATTCATTTTACTCTTACGTGATATTTATTGACTTTGCATTTATTCTGGATATTTAAAAAAAATCAAGAGGGAAGAAATGTGAAGCATTTGAAGGGCACGCATTCTGTCTCTGCAAAAAGGTTTTCTGTTTTGTATTTTTTAATTCTCACTTATTTAAGCATTAAATTATCATTTAACGGTACGTTTCACAGTTCCACATGAATTAAGAAGTGTCTGTTTTGCAATGCCGATTTCGTATCTCGTCACTCTATTAATCTTTTTATTTTCTAAAATTTGTTTACATCTTTCGACTAAATTCATGAACGCACTATTTTCTCTGATTTATTTGC